ACATGTTTGATGACAGTATTATCACCACGTCCACATTTACTTAATTTCACACAATTTAAAACTTACTTTTTTTGTTTTATGACTGTCCTTTTCACAACTTCCGCTTTCCATCTAACTTTATCATCTCTATCTCCTCTGCTCATCTTCTCCACTGAACTTTGCGACCCAAACCCTTGTTAGTGTTACAGTTTTTTTCATTCATTTAACATTCTAATACTATACCATTTTCCACTGCTCTATTTTTTTTCATCAAAACATTTATGAGTTTTAACTTTATCTATTGTCAATTTTTATCCTGTCTTTTGTCCACTTTTACACTATCAAAGTTTTTCCTCGTTTTTGCTCCGAATATTCGCCCTTTTCTCATTATTTTTTATCCAATCATTAACAAAAATGTGACCTGATCTTATTGCACAAACCCTTTTTTCTGTATCAATTAAAAATTCTATTTATGTCATGTTTTTAAATATATCTATTTACTTGTTTTCCTTCCTTTTGTTCTTCATTTTTTTATTTTTTCTTTGTGGACAATGCTGTTTCACATAACAACTTTACTGACACCCTCAAACCTGTGTTACAAAAATTGCATTTTACATTTTTTTCAACTCCATTTGTTCACTATATGATTTAATAAAGTTGCTTCTTTTAACTTTTTCTAAATCAATACTCGCAACATAAGCACATTTAGTTAAAGTTTTTAATAAACAACAGTAGCAACACAAATATAACAAAAGAAACAAGTGTATACTGCAATGTTGATCAACTACAAATGACTGCTAATTAAAAAAATAAGTGTATAAATATTTGCAAAAATGAGAATGCAAAATGAGATGAAAAGGTAAACTAACAGTTTCAAACTGCAATCTTACCAATGAAGTAGAAAAACTAGAACGAATTACATGAAATCTTTGATTAAAAATGTGTGCAATNGTAAACTAACAGTTTCAAACTGCAATCTTACCAATGAAGTAGAAAAACTAGAACGAATTACATGAAATCTTTGATTAAAAATGTGTGCAATGATTAGAAAAAACAAATCTCAAGAAAACTTGACTTGAGCAAGAGAGATTTAAAATGTAAAAATTTCTGCTGTAAGTTTGTACAAAAATGTCTTGAAAAAAGATGAAACTTTCAAGTAATTACAGGTGTTCAGTAGCCGCCTTTTCCTGTTTAGTGATAAACGCCAAAAAAAACAAAAGTTAGTAACATTTTGTTTACTATATGATAAGCATTACCTCGACCACCACCACCACCTCCGTATGATTGCTGAGAGCCACCACCACCTCCTCCTCCTCTCGACGGACCACCATATCCACCTTGATTGCCACCGCCCCTGATTGCTCCTCCATTTTGGGTGAACGACTGTGAGCCGCTCATTCCCCCGCCGCCACCACCGCCATACGATTGCTGTCCTCCACCACCTCCGGCACCGCCTCCTGAATATCCTCCTCCTCCTCCTCCTAATCCACTTGGAGCATTGAATGCTATTGGTTGTCCTCCACCACCGTAAGCACCGTTGATGACACCACTAAATCCACCGCCGCCTCCTCCAATAAAACCTGTTAAAAATTCAGTTAACTGTGTTTTTGCAGCTTTTAAAATCACTTCAGTTCTTACCACCGCCTGATGATCCACCATAACCGCCGCCACCACCGCCGTTGCCGCCGCCATTGCCAAATGATTGTTTTCCACCACTTCCGTAGCCTCCTCCTCCACCAGCACTACCGCCAAAGTTACCGCCGCCACCACCAGCATTTCCGCCAGCATTGTAGCCGCCAAAGTTGCCGCCATTTCCGCCCCCGAATCCTCCACCGAATCCGCCCATGCTCATGCCTAGATTAGCGAACGCCTGGCCGAGGTTGTAGCCGGCATTGGCACTCTGCTTTCCGGCGCCGCCAGCAGATGGTCCGGCAAATCCGAAGCCACTTCCGCCGCCAAAGCCTGAAGACATGGCCATTCCGTAGCCTCCTCCATTTCCTCCTCCTGAAGAGCCGAATCCGCCTCCTCCTGAGGGGCCAAATCCTCCTCCAAAGCCTCCGGATGGGCCTCCATTGCTGTATCCTCCGTCTGATGATGGTCCCGATGATGACTGAACATTTCCGTAGCCACTGGAGAAGCCTGATGAGCTACTACTGCCACCACCTCCACTGCCAAAGTTTCCACCGCCAAATCCGCCCGATCCGCTGTAACCGCCTGTTTGTGCAAAACAACGTTTATCAGTATTTAGTTTTTGTAAATTCGAGTTCATCAGAACTTACCACCGCCACCACCACCTCCAGATGAAAATCCTCCACCAAATCCTATTTAACATAATGTTAATGTGTGAGTTACCAAAAACTACCTGTATAGCAATAAACTTACCACCTCCTCCGCCTGAAGAGCTTCCACCGTAACCGCCTAGACAAAAAAATTCGATTAAACTTTAAAAAACGAAAATTTCACTACCCAAACATTTACCTCCTCCACTTGCACCACCGCTAAATCCTCCGCCGCCATAGCCACTTCCACCATTTCCACCGCCGACGTTTCCTCCGCCATTAGAGTATCCACCACCGCCAGCACCTCCTCCTGCTGATTTAGCTGAGTCATCGCTCTTCTGAATGATAATCACCGGAATAACTGGTGAGTCATCGGAGGAGTGTAGGCCACCAGACAGTCCACCACTTCCACCGCCGCCCCCGCTGTAGTCTCCTGTTTGTCACCGAACCAAAACATGGTCATTATCATTAGTTGTAGCGGAAACATTTTCAATCAAAAATCTCTTACCAGATCCTCCTACTCTTCCTCCGCCATTTCCGCTTCCACCTGAGTGACCACTGTATCCACCGGCTGATCCACCGGCAGACTCGATGTTGTTGCCTCCACTGTAACCACCAGCACTGCCGCCACCACCAACAGAGCCACTACCTCCTGATGAGCCATAGTTGTCTGAATGTCCTGAATGTCCCGAGGCTGGGCCGTCATAGCCACCCGATCCACCACCACCGCTGCTGGCTGCTGCGTAGTCGCCATTGACATTGCCACCACCACCACCACCGTGTCCACCATTGGAGTAATCACCACCACCACCACCACCACCGGCAACAGCACCTGAGGGTGAATGATGTCCACCAGATGAGGAGCCACTGTAGCCGCCGGCGCTGTGACCACCACCACCGCCACCACCACCACCACCGCTCTTGGCCGATTTGACGGGGATCACTGGTAAGTAGAGGACTTTGTAAGAAGGGCGCTTTCCACTGGAACCGCCGCCGCCGTTTCCGCCTCCGCCGCCTCCGCCAGAGTGTCCGCCGTAAGAGTTTCCTCCGTTCTCACCTCCTCCGGCACCTCCTCCTCCTCCTCTTCCTCCATAGGCAGCTGGACCACCGTGACCACCGCCGCCACTGCCCCCTCCTCCTCCTCCGTAGCCGCTGTTTCCGCCATTGCCATTGTTTCCCAGAGCACTACCGTGCTCTGCAGCACTGTGGAGGAGCACTAGCAGGCCTAGAAGCACTATTTGCGAGTGCATCTGCGTTTGCCAAACAAAATGAAAACAGCAGTTACAAAAAAAGTTGCCATAAAATATTGTACAGTTGATCGTTTTATCAAGTTATCTCACTTGTCATTATTTACGTCAAACACTAACGTGCTAGTTGTTTGAGCGTAATTAATTTAAGTGTGAAATTATACTAGTCAAAAAACTCACCACTAAAGTAGAGTTGAAACTTTGCAATGGCAGTAAGTTTCTATTAGAAGTTTGGCACTTGAATGGCACAAAAAATACAGTATTCAAGATTGCTATGTAAAAACTGGTGCTAACACCGCGCCAATTTTCGTTCTGTTGCCCAATATTTTGGGTTATTAGTTAACAAACAAAACACAAAGTTTAAAGTTGCAATTGAAACGAATGACAAAAAAAGTTTTAAAGTTTACAGCAAAAAAAGATAAGCTTGTCGAAAAAGATGAGATGTGTAGACCGCAGAAACTCTTGATTGTCGTTTGACCGCTTCTCATAGAAAAGTTGCGCTTTAAATATCTTTTCTGTCTGCTGTTCTGCTGCTCTGCTGTTTGAGTGCATCACCTCACCTCACCTCACCTCACTGCCGGTTACTCTCCATCTCCATCCAATTGCTCGTTTTCATTTGCCGGGCAATTGGCTGCTCTGAAGACTGCTGTTCAAAGCAGTCAAAAACAGCTAGTTCAGTGTTTTGGCAAAAAAAAGAAAGCTGGATGAGGCCTATGATGAGAAGTGAAGAAGCGCTTCTTCTCTTAGAAAAAAACTCTTTTTTTCTTTCTATCTCTCTCTCTCTCTCTTTCAGTTTCCGACCGACTGTGCTGCTGGATGAAAATGGCGCCAAAAGACAAAGACAAACATGCAGATGAGAGGAAAAGAAAAGGGAAACATGGAGAAAAAGTGAGAAAGAGCAAGAGGAGAAAAACTAAAAAGAATGGACAGTGAAGAGTGTGCACCAGGCAGAAGTGAGTGCATCAATGTAGAGCTTTACTGGCAGGAAGCAATGATTGGAAAGTAAGGGGGAAAAAGTGGTGCACAAGCACACAAAAACCGAACCTATGCTTAGCACACAGTGAGAGGACTCAATGGACATCAAAGTGCATTCTTCCCTTTTTTTGCTTTTGCTAAACTAGTGCTTCATTGTGGTCGGCTGACTGTACAACACACGTATATTCGGTCGAATTGAGGAGAGCAAGAAAGGAGACACACTAGGCAGGCAAACTGGCAATCAACTGTTGATGCTCAATTCAGTCAAACTGCCCAGTGCCACTGTCAATACACTCACTCACACACAGACACACACACACTAATAAGTCCACTTTGGAGTAAACTGACACCTGTGACTTGCTGTGCTCAAAGTGCAAGTGTGTGTGTGTAGTGCAATAGGAGCAATTGACAAGTGCAATTGACTTCGGCTTAGCAGTTTGCTCTGGTCTGCACGGTTTCTCTGCATCCTGTCACACTTTGGATAACCGGATGTAGGATCACAATGAAGAAGTGGCAGTGGTCAGAAGTTAACCACGTCGCAATAGAATAATAAGTAACAGAAACAAAAATTTCCGGTAAAATGCAATGAATCATGTGAAGATGACACTATGAATATTTACAAATGCAAAATAAAGCACAATTTTGCTGTTTTAGCCATTGTAAACAGGTAAACAATAAAGTGCGTAAATAATAACGCAAATTAAATAATAAAAACTAAAATAAATACTGTTCAGTTTTTTGAAAACAGATTGATTTAAGATTTTAGCTGACAAAAAAGTTAAATAACACTTAAATGATTAATTGTACAATCATTTTTAAATGTTAAAAACAAACACTATTTATTTTTTTATGTTGTGACTAATATGAATGTGAATAAAATCACTATAATGTAGTCATCACACAAAATTTTTAAATGCACAACCTAAAAACCCGGTTATCTAGCTTAAAAAATTGTATTTGTGATCAAAATGCAAATTGTGAAGATAATGGCCAGCAATTAATTGAAAGTAGTAAAATGTTTTTTGTCATAATATATGTGACTAAATCTTTTTATTGTTATATGCAAAACATCATTTCAAAAATGTGTTTACTGTAAATGACTAGTTGGTTTTGCGGTAATAATAAAAAACAAAAAAAAACATTAAAACTCATTGACATTGATACTAGAGACAATTTTTAATGACTTTTGACAAAACTAGAGCTCACAGTCGTTGTTTTAACAAAACTTTTTTAAAAAAAATCTCGTTTTTAATCTCACTCTGTGTCTGTTTGTTTATAATTATTGTTAACGATTACAAAATTAGGAAAAATATGTTGGTAAAAAATATCATTTTTGTGACAAAAACAAGCAAATTAACAATAACTCTAATTGTTATTTTTATTATGCATTCAAATTCAGTTTTTTTAACTAATTTTTTTGTTCATAAAAGCCTATTTTTCTATTTTCTATTTTCTAATAGATTTTTCAATTGCTAGTAAATAAACTTAAATAAGGTCAAAAAATGTTTATTTTTTAAATTTTTTGTTAAGTTCTAACGTTTTTAATACCGATATACTACTTGCTGCTAAGATTTATCTAATTTGTCTAAACAATTTTGGCAAAGTTTGCAACGACTATCGTGCAAACAGGCAGTCTCATCAGCAGTCACATCACTGAAAGCACTCAAAAGACAACAGTATAAAATACACATGAGATGCATTTTAAAGGCACCAGGCAGTGCACAATGCCAAAACGCATGGCAACCCCGGCCTGACTACTCAGACAGTCACCAACAAGTGAACTGTTTTAAAGCTGATAAAGCAAATATAAAAAGTATGTAACAGTACGCAAGTGTAATGTTCTAGACGAGCGACAATTAACATTATTTTCATTTAGTTGAGACGGTTTTACTGCTATCTCAGTGGCCTAGAAAGCAAAACGGTCAACATTGATCGTGACCGACTTGGCAAGGCAACTCACGAAAAAGATGCGCAAGTTGCTTGCACTAGATGAAAACGGTTTTTTATAACTAGAAAAAAGGTTAAACCGCAATAGCAAAACAAAAGAAGCGTTTCTAACTGTTGTAGTTTTTTATATTTAGAAAACAAACAAAAAGTTTTTATGCTAGTTTTAGTGAACATTTTTTGCCAAGCACAGTTTGTTAAGTTTATGAAATATAGTGCAGAACAATGTTTGCCAGTTGAGGTTAACTAATTGTCGGTCAACTGTTTGTCATTACCAATTGCCGGCGACGCCTAATGACCGTCTGAATAAATCATCAGCTCAGTCAAAACCGAGCAAGATAAAACTGTAAAAACAAGAACACTTTAAAAAGTAGGTTTGCTATTGTTAAAAACAAAAATAATGGGTAGAAAATGCAACAACACAATAGTTGGCGTTGTCACAATTTATTATTGTTTTGTGCAAAATGACTTTCTTTTATGTTTTTTGTTGTTTGTAGAAAACTATACATAAACTATCAATAAACAAAGTGAACAAAGAAATCAGTTAGTGAATGGGTTGTTGTAAAAAACAGATGTGTTTATAGTAAAACAAACACTATGCAAACATTTTTAACACGTGTTGATAAATTTTAGCTCCAGTTTCCAAACTCATGTTTTATGTTAATGTTAACAGTTTATCTTGCATCACATTAACAGTTGCTTATCAGTAGTGCTTTTAAACATTTTTTTCGATGTTAATCAAATCAATCTGTCAAAAGAATTTACATATTACTGACATTGTTTCTGATTTTTTTCTGAAAGTGGTGCAAACTTTAACAAAAGAAAATTTGTCTTACTGAGTCACGACGACTAGTACGAAAATGCCCGCAAATAGTGGCAATCAATGGGCATCCGCGCTATTAGCACACTATGATAATGCTGATGACTTACACACACTAACAGCAAAACACACCGGTAGACAATCTGTCAATTACTGTTACTATCTTCGGCAAAGTTGATGTTTCATTGTTTTGTTTGCTTTGTTGCATCTTCCTTACTCCGCCTTTTTAAATGGATTCATCAACAGGTAATTCAAGCAGTGGTTTCAATTGCTTTTTACTTTGCGCCTTTATTGCATTCAAATGACTCTTAATTGTGTTTATTAAAATTGAATACATTTTTCTTATTTTTAACTATTTAAAAAATTCAAATAAAACACACTACGTGTTTTATGTTCCGAAACTCATTTTTTAGCATGTGTTTAAAAAAAGCACTGGCATAAAAGATATAGTAATGTTAACGACTGGTTGAGCTACCAAAATAGATAGATAGATAGTGAAAATCAATCAATCTATGCAAGCTTGAACAGTTTTAACCACAGCTAATCTGATTGATTTGAGTTCAACGCCAGTCGTAAAGACTGTCAGTTTTTCCCTTTTGGGCCATTTCTATAAATTTTTTTGACGCAAACTTGTGTTTTTGCATAAAGAGAGATTATCATGCATCTAATTAAAAAAATTATCATCAATTGTTAGCACGCAGACGCAGTTAAAAGTAATGAGAGTAATAATAAAACTGCTGATAGTGAACAATTGAGGAAATGCAATGATGTTACTGTTGTTGCAATAAAGTGCTGACATTTTTTATTGTATAATTTACGTGTTTACTTGCCAATGTTGACCACGTAACCATTTATTGTTTTTTAACACATAAAAAGTAATCTGTGTATTTTTCATTTTAATTTAATAAAATTAAAAGTTTTAAATTTTAAAATCACATTTCAAAACCTTGTTTTAAACAAAAAAGTAACTTTTTTGTTAGCTAACAATTGAATTTGACAAAAAAAAGTTACTGATAGTTAACAGTTAATCGGTTAACATAACAGAAACAATTTAAAAAATATTTTTAATAGACACACAGAAAGTGATAGGATGAGACCTAACACAAACTCAAAGAAAAAAACGATTAGCTAGTCAACAGGCAAAAGGTTAGAAACACTGGTCACCGTTGTTCATACCAAGTTCTTTTAGCCAACAGAAGCTGAAGAAGAAAGTGGTAAAAAATAGAAGCGCTATTTATAACTGCTGAAAAAGACAGCAGTTCAACTACTACTTGCTTTTGCTTGAGCACATGCACACACACACACACGACTGACAGGTAAAAAGACAACACAGAGGATGGGATGCAATGGTCACTGTGCTCATCACATTAGAACTTTGCCTTCTTCTGCTCTTTTTCTTTTTTTCATTTTTTTTCACTTGAACAACATTAACTAACTTAATTCATCTGCATCGTTTTGTTTGGTTTGTAAAACATTTGATAAACGCTAATTTAGCATTTATTTGGTCAATTTTCAGCAAATATTTTGTCATTTATTTAAATTTAAACTAAAAAATAAATTAAAAATAAAAATGTTTTGTTTTTTAATAATAACAAAAAGTTTAACTATCTAAACTAGCATTTGATAATACAACACTTAAAAAGTATTTTATTTAAAAAATATAAAAAGTGAAAATAAAAATGATATTAGTTTAAACAAACATTTTTTGTAAAAATGGCCTGTTTAAGTTTACTTTTTTCTGTTTTTTGTTTTATTTTTTCTATTGTATTTTCAGCACAAATAAATCATTTTTCAATAACAGGAAACACATTTGACCTTACAAATCAGCATCGTCAATCAGCTGTACTTCGTTTTAGCATTAATGGGACTAACGTCACTGACGTCCATTACAGCAAAGATCATCACAATCGAGAAGATAAATCTGAAATTATTGTTAATTTTACCGATGGTTCTCAAATGTACATTGGTGAATTGAACTATGATCCAAACAACACTGAATATATGCTAGTTTGGAGCAAAAATGAACCAAACTTAGAAAAAGAGCTGTGTTTTCACTACGGTTTTAACAACGCCAGCTGGTAAATTTTATTTTTAAACATAAGTTTAAATTTTTTTATTAAAAATTTATTATATTATCTATAAGGTTTTCTACCTATGAAGAAAAAAATCAAAAATGGCCAATGGACACTCAAAAAATAATTCCGAAAGGAAAAGCGTTTACAACATCTGACTTTTTACTAACTCCTGATTTTGGCTCCATTATTGAACACGTCTTTGTTAACACTGACGGGTTTGGCATTGTGCTAAATGAGTATCATCCCTGGATACTGCGTCGCGATTCAAATCACGGAGATCCTATTCTTTGTGTTTCTACTTCAAACCTAAAACCCTATCCAAATCAAACAACATACAGTAATCCACATTTCTTTGACACATACATTCATTTTCGGATTGCCAATAATATAACAATGGTTTGGAATCGTCTACATCACACGCACATCTACCCACCAAAAAGTATTCCTGATGAAAGAATGTTTCGTTATCCAATATGGTCAACATGGGCATACTTCAAAAAGGAGGTCAATCAAAGCAAAGTTCTTCAATTTGCAAATGAAATTGTCAAACACGGGTTTAAAAACAACGCACAGCTTGAAATTGATGACTTTTGGGAACATCATTATGGAGACCTGACTTTTGATACAACAAAATTTCCTGATGCAAAACATATGATTACTGAATTGAAAAAACTTGGATTTCGTGTTACAGTTTGGATGACGCCGTTTATTACAAAAGAGTCAACAACTTACAATGCAAGCATTCCCCACTTGGTGAAAAGTCACGATGGACACCCCTTGACATCAAAATGGAATTCAGCCGGCATTGTTGATTTTTCAAATGATCACGCCGCCAAGTGGTGGATTGATCGTTTAAACCATTTTAGAAATGAATCAGGAGTAGACGGCTTTAAAATGGACAATGGCGAAGTTTATTGGTATGGAGATGATTTTATTGTAAATGATCACAAAGTTCGAGAATACGCCAACTGGGTTACAACTCGATATGTGGAAACCTGTTCTAAACTGGGACCAATGACTGAGGTTAGAAGTGCTTTCAAAAATCAGCATACTACCGTTTTCTTAAGAATGATGGATAAAAACACCGTTTGGGAAGGTGAGAACGGCCTAGCATCATTGATTTCTACAGCCCTGACAATGTCTTTAGCTGGATACTCTTTCATACTGCCAGATATGATTGGCGGAAATGATGAAAAACCAGCCGAAGAACTTTTCATTCGATGGGTTCAAGCGACTACTTTTCTACCCTCAATGCAATTTTCATACCCGCCCTGGATTTACTCTGAAAAAGCTGTAAACTTAACACTTAAATATGTACAGCTACATGCTGAGCATGGCGACACTATTATTACGCTGGCCAAACGCCGAGTGACTCACTCTGAACCGGTCATTAGACCACTGTGGTATTCAGAGCCAAATGACTCGAGAACGTTCAAAATTAATGACCAGTTTATGCTTGGGCCAGATATTGTTGTGGCACCTGTACTTGAAAAAGGAAAAACTGAGCGATCAGTTTATTTGCCTTCAGGAGTTTGGGTTGATCAACATGGCAAGGAAAACACAGGGCCAGCAATAATTAAAGTTTTATCTCCAATTGAAGAACTTCCTTATTTTAAACGAAAACATTAATTTTGAGTTATTTGTAAAAGTTGGGTAACAATCTAAAGAAAAATGAAATAATTTGTTGTGACAAAAATTAATTTAGTTTTAACAAAAAAAATGTTTATTTAAAGTGCTATTAATAATATTTGTTGTAACAAATTTTACTGAATAAAACTTGTTTGTATTTTGTAGTAAAGTTTGTTTTACTATTTTTCACCAACCTTGAAAAGCAGACACATAAAAAATTATTGTTTGCGATAAAAGTATTTGATATTACAAATCAACTAGTGCAAATCTAATCATGCAGACTTTTTTTACTTTTTGCAGAAACATTTTTATATAACTTTATGTTCAAATGATCTTATAAAAAGCACATTTTAAGAAATTTTACTCGTGTTTAAATTACTTCTGAAAAATTTTTTAATTAAATCATATTTATTTAACGAAAAATGAGTTTTACTAAATGTTTCACACTTTTGTTGTTGTGCTTTGCGTTGCACGTGTTATTCATTTTGCCACTTACAAACTGCATTTTTCCAGAATTTAAAAAAGATGAATATATTAAAATCAACTTTACCAAAAATTTAAGCATTCGTTCTACGTCATTGACACTTACCGAGTTAGAATATCGCCAGGAAACATTGCGCAACATGACCAAAGAAGCATGGAATGCCTATCGAAAGAACGCCTGGGGCGGAGAAGCGCTGGATCCAATCGATAACATCACATGCAGTGACTCATTTGGTGACGATTCAGGACGAACCATCATTGCATCATTGAGTACATTAAAAGTGATGGGTCTTGAAGAAGAGTTTAATGAAGCCAAAAAGTGGGTACACGAGCAAATGAGCTTTACAAATTTGGAGAAAGATGTCTCGGTTAAGTTGACAATCACTGATTACATTGGTGGATTACTTTCTGCTTTTGCTCTCACAGCCGATGAAACGTTTCACCAGAAAGCAAATGAAATTGGCGAAGTGGTTAAAATAGCCTTTGACCCCAAATCAGGCTTGCTGCATAACACTCTTAATCCAAAAAGAAAGCTATCACATTACAATTTTGACTTTAGACGTTGGTATTTGAACTCTATTTCAGCAATTGGTCATCAGCAACCAGAATTGCTATACCTTGCTGCTTTAAACAATGACAAAAAACTGCAAGTTCTAATAGAAAAGAAAATTCATAAAACAGTTAAAAGCTTGCCAAAGCCTGGTGGGCTCTACAAAAGTGCCGTTGATGTTCGAGACGGAACATGGATCACTGATGGCGTTTTAGTATCTTTTGATGAAAATTCAAAAGATTTTTATTATAACCATCTTCGGTCATACCTACTGTCAGGTGGCAAAAAGAGCAAAGTATTTAAAAATTTCATTTTGGCAATGAAATCGCTCATTGACACTAGAATGATAATCCCGCTAACTGACGATGGACGGCGCTACGTGACTTACATTGACTCTGAAGTTTTACTTGATGTGGGCAAAACAATGACCACTTCTACCTGCTATTTAGGAGCCATGTTGTACCTAGCAGCTGAATCAGACAAGTTACTAAAAAAAGAAAATAGCTCAATTTTGAGCAATTACCAAGCAGAAGTGTTTCGTGTGTTGGCAGAAAACATCACTGAAACATGTCACATTTTGGCAGAAAACACCAACACCAAACTGCTTCCATCGACAGTTTATTTACGTTTGACTGAAAATTATCCATTTGGAGACATGGCTTTTGGCAGTTCTGAGTATTCGTAAGTTTTTAATAGTTTAAATTAAAAGCTTGACTAACTGTTTTTGATTCAATTTTAATTTAAACTAAATTACAGTCATCATTTAGCGGAAAGTTATTTCATCCTATGGCGACTCACTGGCGACTTTCGATATCAAGAGTACGCCTGGCAAATGGCCATGGCATTGCGCACGCATGCTCGCACACAAAGTGGAGGTTACGGAGTGGTCAATTATCTTGATAAAATTCCCTCAAAAATTACCCACAGGCAGCAACCGGAAACCCTGTCTGCGACGTTTAAATACCTGTATCTAACTTTTTGCAGCCAAGATGTTCTGCCACTTGACAAATGGTTTTTCAACGCCCAAGGTCACCCTCTGCCTATCAGTGGCCAGGATAGACTGTACCCTATTAAAACTTACGATATTCGTTTGCGCAGATATGTTAGCACGCTGTTTAATTACAGTTACACTGATTTATTCACTTAATCACGTATTAACTAATGATAATAAAAACACAAATAAAACTTCAGATTTGTTTCTACTTTTAAATTGTTTTTTGTAATTATGAACAGATTGTAGTGTCTAGTGACTTAGCACAGCGCACTCTAACTCTTTGAGATTAAATTTGAAGTTTTCTGGTTTTTTGAAGCCATTGTTGATCTCATAGTACGGAGCAATGACTTTCTGGTTGTCGCCACTTAGAAAAAATGGCTCCCATTCGGGTTGCTCGGCAGTTGGTTTTCTGTAAAAAATTACATGTGAAATTAACTTTTTGACAGTGAACTACTAACACAGTGATTTGTTCTTACCCGTGATAAAGAAAAGACTTGATAAAGGTCATTATCTCAGTGGAAATTTCCTTCTCACGACTAGTTGATTTGTCTGGGTATCGGAAAGCCATGCCAAAGGCAGGATAAAGCTCATCACAGTGACAGGCGCCGGCCCACTGATTGCAGAGAAACTTGAGGTTTCCCAACTTGGCTGTGTAGTACCACTGGTACACCGTTGCAGTAGTGGGACTGTTTCGGAAGACCTCCTTGGAGAAGTCCAGCACCGGACAGGAAAGAATCAGGTCACCGTAGGCAATGCCCACCCGTTTTCGGAGATCATTTGAGATGTCCAAGTCTGCGTTCAGTCCGCTGAAGTAGAGCTTGTTCAGGGCCGCCTGGGAAATTGACTGGCGACCGCTGGTGATGAAGGCAAGAACGCCCTGAGCTTCCGGCAGCGTAATTGGCTGTGGGTCGACCGGTTTGAACTGGGCCTGACCGGATACCAGAGCCAAAATGAAGGAGGCCTCATCTTCGACAACGCTGGATAGCAAATTGACATTGGTTTTGTAGTTTCCTTTAGCCAGCAAATCACGCGGACTTGCAGGCAGAAACTCGCCATCAATGACCACCAGAGGAAGTATATCTACAATTTTACAAAATGTTATTTTTTCATGTTTCAATTCAACCATAAATGTCAACACATACCCAGTGGACTCTTTCGGTCAACGAGATTGTAGATTTTATCCACGTCCTCAGCGGGCAGCGCTTGCAAACACCTGACTACCTCTTTGGTAATGGTGGTGTCCTTGTCAGTGGCACAGTTGACTTTCCTGATTCCCGTCAGGTAGAGCTGCTCAAACTGTTGTCCGTCAGTGTAGAAGTCATCGAGAACGGCTCCCGACATCATGATTGCACTTTGAAACCAGTTTCTCGTCACCGGAGAGAGGACATGCAGGCTGACCGACCATCCGCCGGCACTCTGTCCCATCAAGGTCACCCTCTGTGGGTCGCCGCCAAAGTAGCGAATGTGCTCCTGGACCCACTCCAAGGCGGCGGCCTGATCAAACAGGCCCTGATTGCCGCCCACCTCGGCCACCTCACTGGAGTAGAGAAACCCAAGTGTCGACACGCGATAGTTAATGGTCACCACGACGGCGTCGGCAGCCGCCGCCAGCACTTCGCCATTGTACAGATCAAAGGACGACGTGCCAATGGTAAGTGCTCCGCCGTGTATCCATATCAAAACTGTGTAAAACAAACACACAAGAAAAACAAAATGATAAACACCAAAATGTTTACGACAAATTCAGTCTTACCTGGCTTTAGCTTTTCTTCACTGACTACCGCCACGTCAGGTGACCAGATGTTGAGGTAGAGGCAGTCTTCGGAAAAATTTCGGCTTAAAACGAGAGGTTCATTGAACGGAGCCAGAGCCAGGTTTTTATCTTGAACGCATTGGGCCGGAAAGGAAGTTGCCTCGAGTGGTTCAGTCCATTTCTCAGTAATGGGCACTGGGCGAAGAAATCGCAAGTTTTCAATTGGTGGTTTAGCATAGGGAATGCCGAGAAACTGATTGACAGGTTGTTTTTCATACGGGGACTCGACAACTTGACCATTGATAGTGCCCAGCTTAGTGACCACCTGGACCACCTGTTCGGCACCTTTTGCACATAGTGCCAAACCAAAGGTCAGCAAAATAAAACTTATTAACTTTGAATTAATCAAGAGCATTATCGAGCAAGTGTGATTTCTTGGCGAGAATGCGAAAGCACACTCACTAATGCACACATATAAATAATTGCCATAGCTTCTCGCACACTCTTACTAGCAACAATGTACCAGTGGGTATTATTATCTCTACTAACAAAAGTGATGCTATTGTGCTATACAATGTTTTCCTCTGTACAGCAACAAGCCTGAAGGGCATTCGTATTATCTGATTGACTTGTTATTTCCTCATTATCAAAGAAAACAAGTACTGTTAAAAATAAAAATTCAATATGCACTTCTGAGTACGTTTAAAGACTGTTTCTTTACATTGCTACATAAAATGACCTAAAGTAAAGCGTTTAATTTTAAATCAGGAAACTTTTCTTTATATTTGTTGTTTATTTTAAGTACAACATTTAAACTTATTTACTTTTTGTTATTTATATTTTTTGTTGTAAACAAAAAAACTTAACTAAACAAACACAAATTTTATTTAAATGTTGCTAAGTTTGTATTATAAATTATTTGTAAATAAAATTTTTAGTTTAATTTTAATACTCATTAAAAACAATCAAACAAATCAGTTTTAAGTTTTAAATTAACAATGTTATCAGTTTTTCTATCAATGTTTAAATTTGTATCACAAAATTGATTGTTAATAAATGTTACTTTTTGTCTAAACAAAAAATTATTTTATAATTAAACTGTTTGAGTCAAAACAACTTGTTAAAAAATAAACTAAGCAGTATAATGACTAAATTAACTTTTGTAAAATTTTGTTTAATTATATGGCCTTTCTTTTATAAACTTTTTGGAGAAAAAATACCAAATTTTTCTGCTAATTCTACAATTGTAGAAGTAAACAAAACAATTAGTTTTAAATGTGATGTTGCTCAACTAGACAACTGGTCAACAAGCAATTACGAAGTACATTTTACTTTTAACTCCAACTATTTTTCTTATGCATATTATGCTATTACATGTAAGTTTGTAAAAAAAATAACAAAAACATAACTATTTTAAAATGTTTTTAGATGATAATTTAAAAAATCAACAACAAGTAAGCCTCGGTCGGACAGAAGAATTTAATGGAATTACAGTTTCACTTGGTTCTCACATGCCGCCAATTTTTGAGTTTTTAGCAAAACCAAGCAATTTACATTTAAATCAACTTGAACATTTTGGTTGTCAAGTGCTTCAAAGTGATTGGATAAAATCAAATTTAATAAATGTAACCATTTTAGCCAAAGTTCCAAAGTTAACATTTTCAACAAATGTTTCTCAAATTGAAACTCAAAAACCATTTACTGTAACATGCAGAATTGACAACTTTGATTCAAATCAAAACTATTTTGTGAAATTTTTTAACAGTTTAGATGGATTACTAGCTACGTTTGAAGTAGAAAATAACAACGAGCCATTAATTACATCAGAAAGACATCGAAATATGACTGTTAATTTTGGAAAAAACTTCAAATATCCTAATTTTGATATAGTTATAGTAGAAAACAATAATATTTTTCAATCATACTGGTGCAATTTAGAATTGAGAAATGTTTCAAACAATATTAGTTTTAATTCTAATCATTGGCCGGCTCCACAAATAAAATTCAATTCAACAAAAACAGGTCAAGTGACAACAGGTAGATGCTCAGTGTCTAGCCTCGAAACTTTTAATAACTCGTACAAAATCAAATATTTTACCGATTTTGGGCCAGCAGCAAACAACTTACTAGCTACTTATACAATTACACCGGGAAAACCAGAATTGTTTATAACTGAACCAAGTAATCTTTACACTAACATTACACATGGAAATCATCGATTGTTTCCTGTTTTTGAAATTAATGTCAAGTTTGCAACAAATTCTAACAACTGGTGGTGCACACTAACAATTGGCGATAAAAATCAATCTAACTATGAAGAAATTAAATCAAATAAAATTAAAATTTAGTATCAATTTAGTTTTTAAACTGTATTTCGTTAAATAAAACAATTTTTAGTGTTTATTTTTCTAAAATATAACAAATTTGTTAAAATTTTTTTATTTTAAACATAATTGTAGTTATGTAACAAATTAAAAATAATAGCAACGTTGGAATTTGCACTAATTAACTTTTATATTTTGTCAAATTATTTTGTCGTCAGCAAACCTAAAGACAAAATGTTTGAAAAAGTTTTATCAAAAAAACTTAAAATGACCTGATTAAAATTTATGTGTGAAAACTATTTAAACCTTGTATTTTGAATAGTTTTTTTAACAATTTTGCGTTTTTCAATTTTTGTAAATTATGAAAACAATTTTTTTGCTGCGTTTGTTTTTGTTTGCTACCGTTTGGTTAGCTGCTGTCGCAGTTCGTATTGAACTTGAAAATTTACCAGAAAAATGCGATTTAAGCAAATGTACACTTCCGGACTCCAAGAAAATCAACGTTCATTTAGTTCCGCATACTCACGACGATGTAGGGTGGCTCAAGGTATTTTTTAAATTAAACAAATAAAAAATAGATTTTTAAAAGTAGTTATGCACTTGGGGTAGTTAAACATTGTTAATAGTGCTTTTTGCATAAAAAAGTGCACTGCTAATAAACTAACAAAAATTAAACTATAAAAAATATTTAAAACTTTTTTATAACTCGTTTATTTTTTCAGACTGTTGATCAATATTATTATGGCACTGCTAACCAATATCAAAGAGCTGGCGTTCAATACATTTTAGATTCAATAGTAGAAGAACTGATTAGAGACAAATCGCGACGGTTCATTTACGTAGAAACAGCTTTTTTCTGGAAATGGTGGACTGAACAAAATGAAGAACAAAAAAACATAGTAAAAGAACTTGTCAAAACTGGTAAATAATTTTTTATTGTGTTAAGATTGTAATAATGCTTATATTTTGATTGTTTTTAGGACAACTTGAGTTTATTGGCGGCGGCTGGTAATATTTTAATATTTTTAATATTTTTTTGTTTTTACGTTACAATAATTTAGGTCCATGGCGGACGAAGCAACGACAAATTATGTCTCAATTATTGATCAAATGACTGTTGGACATCGCCGCCTTACCGACACTTTTGGTCAATGTGCAATTCCTAAGGTGGCCTGGCAAATTGATCCTTTTGGTCACAGTAAAGAACAAGCAGCCCTTTTTGCAGCCATGGGATTTGATGCACTCTTTTTTGCCAGAGAAGACTATCAAGAGAAAAGTCACCGAATTGCAACTAAAACGCTGGAGCACATGTGGCAAGCATCTGAAGACTTAGGAACTGCAGGTGACCTGTTTACCGGGCTGATGAAGAATCACTATGGACCTCTGTCAGGTATAGTTAGCATTTTTGTCTGAAATTCTGCAACGTTTACTACCAGAAAAAATTGCACAAATTTTTTTATTTAACAGGACTTTACTGGGATCTCGCCAACGACGGTGACGACCCAATTGTGGACAACATTGAGTCGGAAGAGTACAACGTACCTAGTTTTGTGAAAAAGTTCACGCAAAACGTAAAAAACTTCGCCGTCGGCTACCCGACCAATAACATCCTCGTGCCGATGGGCAATGATTTTCACTACATGAACGGCCGTGCCTACTTCAAGAACATGGACAAGCTGATCAGGGCGACGGCCAACTCCACCGAGGTGAAGGTCTTCTACTCGACCCCGTCCTGCTACGCAAAGGCGCTGCGCGATTCGGGCGTCACCTTCACCAGCAAGGTGGACGACTTTTTCCCGTACGCCAGCGACTACGCCACCTACTGGACGGGCTACTACACCTCGCGACCGTCATTGAAGCGATTTGAACGGGTGGGCAACGGGGTGCTGCAGACCACCAAACAACTGCACGTTTTGGCGGGACACGGGCCCAAGGAGCATGAAAAGCAGATCAACCGGCTGAAGGAGTGGATGGGCGTCATGCAGCACCACGACGCAATTGCCGGTAAGAAAAAGTGGATTAGAAGTTGGGAAAAGTGAAAATTGACTGTACAACAACATCTTTTCACCAGGCACCGAGAAGCAGCACGTCACCAATGACTACGCCAAGAACCTCGATGCGGCCATCAGGGGCGTGCAGTCGGCGGTCATTGGGCGATCGGTGAGCGGCCTGCTCGCCACACGACCCTCTGACGCCCATCCGCCGGCGCCCGAGACGGTCACCTTCTGTCCGCTGCTCAACGTCAGCAGCTGTCCGATCAGCGAGAGCGGCTCCTCGCTGGTGATGCACCTCTACAACCCGCTGGGACAGACGGTGACCAACTGGACGGTCCGCCTGCCGGTGAAAGCGGCCACCGCCTATCGAGTTTTCGACGAGCAGGACCGACCGGTGCCCTCCTCTCTGGTGCCCATTCCACTGGGCGTTCAAGTGCTGCCCGATCGGGAGACGGACGCCCAGGTGGAGCTGGTTTTTACGGTTTGTTAAGGGACGTTGTTTGTGGTTTTTTATTTAATTCACCCTTTTACCCTGCATTTCAGGTCGTTTCAATTCCTCCTCTCGGTCTGATCAGCTACTTCATCAAGTCGGGAAACGGCGACACCTCTGGAATGGCGGCAAAGGAGATTACCGGAACGTCGGCAGCCAATGCAAAGCTGACCGGGCGCAACTTGACCGTTCACTTTGACGGCCAAGGAGAGCTGAAGTCAGTTCAGCTGAGGGACGGCACCACTGTGGCCTTTAGCAATGAGTTCCACTACTACCGCGGATCAGCCGACAATGTGCGCAACTCTGGAGCGTACGTCTTCCGGCCGGCGCAGCAGAGCACCACCAGAGCGGGCAAAGTGGTAGAAGCTAAACTGTTCAGCAGTGGCAGTGATGGCGGGTTCCTGCAGGAGGTGCACCAAAAGTTTGACGTTGACTGGATCAGCCAGGTGGTGCGCCTGGTGCCGGGCCCCATCGAGGCGGTGGAGTTCGAGTGGACGGTCGGTCCAATTCCGGTGGCCGACGGCGTCGGCAAGGAGATTGTCGCCCTCTACAAGACGGACCTCGCCACTGGCAACAGTTGGAAGACCGACTCCAACGGTCGGCAGCTTCTTCAGCGGAGGGTAAACTTCCGTCCCAGCTGGAAGCTGCAGGTGCACGAGCCAGTGTCGGGCAACTACTACCCGGTCAACTCACGGCTGGTGCTCGAGGACACGGCTCGAAGGCTGGCCATGTCAGTGCTCACTGACCGAACGCAGGGCGGAACTTCGCTGCAGAACGGAAGTGCCGAGCTGATGGTCCACCGACGGCTGCTGCACGACGACTACTTTGGCGTCGGTGAGCCGCTCAATGAGCCGGGCGTGGACGGCAAAGGGCTGGTCATTCGCGGACGACACCAGGTGCTCATATCGAGTCTGGAGAAGGCGGCCAGTCAGCATCGGCGAGGAAGTTTACAGCTGCTGCTAGAGCCGTTTATCAGCTTTTCACAGCTGGCTGAAGAGTACGAGAAAAAGTATTCAAGAAAGTTTCAGGTATGATGCACAAGTTTGCTTTTAGTTTAAAAAATTCGTTTGAGTTGAATAACACGTTTGAATTTTCAGGGTTTAAGCGTGGATTTACCCTCAAATGTACATTTGTTGACACTTGAACAGTGGAAAAATAATGAGTTACTTCTTCGTCTTGAGCATTTGTATCAGAAACAGGAGGATTCAGTTCTCAGCAAACCAGTAACAGTCAACCTTCGGCACATGTTTGCAAAAATGGAAATCACTGCTGCACAAGAACTAACCCTTTCAGGACATTCAGATGTTTCTAAACTAAAAAATCGATTTCAGTACAAGTATACGCCAATTGGAAATGTTTCTACTCCTTTCAATGTGCCATTTGATGCTGTCAAATTGGAAGTCACTTTAAATCCAATGCAAATTCGTACTTTTGCAATAACTGTTATTCGAAAATAGACAAACAAAATTATTTAAAACTTTTTAATTAATGTTTTTAGTTAACATTTAAATACAATTTAAATAATTTTACAATTTAATTAAAACTTTGTTATGATCACAAATTAAAATGAATTTGCTTTGTGAATTATATATCTAAATGTACTTTAACATTGAAAAAAATAATTAAAAAAAAGTAAGATAACAAAAAGCGTTATGATTTAAGGAAACAAAGTAACATAATGGCCTAGTGTCTAGACTGTTTTCAACTTTTTACAATCTGAAAGTTGATAAAAATACAATATTACACGGTTAACAACTTCTTGTCACAAGATTTAATTTTGTCAAGTTAAAGCACAAATTAATGACACATATATAAAAAATAACTTGGTGAACAAGGTCAGAAACTTTAGAGCCATTTAATAAAAAGTCATTTTGTTTATCAATGTAGAAATATTTTTTAAATTTAATAAAAACAGTTTATTAGCTGACTAGCTAATAAATTTATGGGAGTTTCAGAAAAGCATTAACATTGTGAAAAGTATAAATACAATTTTTGTTTTTAATTAGTTTATGTTTATACACAAAAAAGTTCACCCAATATTCCTGAAGATGGTTTTTAAAATAAATTGTTTTGCAGTAAATATTTGTGTTTTTATTTTTATAAATTTAAGCAATGGTCAAAACGAACCAACCATATCAATTGTCGCTGATAATGAACACGCTGATTTTGGAAAACCGGTGGCAATTCGATGTACTGTTAAAGACTTACAAATAAGTCAAATTTATAGCTATTCCGTTTCGTACATATGTGATTCTTACGATAATTCCCTAGTTGATGAAGTAGCTAACTGGATAGTTGATGACGCTGGAATCGTTTCTTTTGAAACTAACGAAACATCCTCTTCCTTACTTGGATTAAAAATTGGTCAAGGTGAAAAAGGAAATTATCCTGATTTTGATATTAAATTAGAACCAGCGTTTGATAAAGAAGACATTTATGCTTGTTATTGCCGTTTAAATGTTTTTGAAATCCCCAACGATGTACTACCAATTCACTATTATTCTGAATTTATCAGTTTTTACCCTAAATTAAATGCTCAAATTGAGTACTCAGCAACTCCTTCTTCATTTTACATTGGTCGTTTGTTCAATTCACAGTGCAAATTAGACAATTTTAATCCCAGTGAATACATTTATTATGAAATTGGGTTCATGCTCAACAATGAAAACAATTGGATTGCTTACTATGAAATTGACGTTGGTAAGTATTTACAAAAGTTAAACAAAAAATATTTTTTACTTGTTTTTTACAGTTAACAACATTACGGCTTTTTATGGTAACATTCAAATTGATATTACTGGTTTAGAAGTTGTTCAAGGGACCCAAACAGAATTTCCTGTTTTTGACATTTACCTAAACCCTTTAAACTCAAAATCCATTGGCAACTACTATTGCATTGTAACTGCAACTAAAAACGGCTCTCACCCACATTTAGTCAGCTCTACTCGGTTTAACGCTCAAGAAGCAATCTTTCCGATTGAAGCAAAAGCTATTTTTATGATTGATCCGAAAGCGTTGCAAGCAAATACAGCATTTTATGGTCAATGTATGGTGGGAAACTTTGTCGAAGAAGATGTTCAAACAACATATACAATTCGCTACTACTATCAAAGTGATTCGGCTAATGAAAGTACTGTTATTGGGTCGTATTTGTTTGTAAAAATTGATGGTTATTTTAAAAGTCGATTTATTTCAACTGATAATAATGACCTAAAAGTTATTGATAGCTTGTCTTATTTTCCCGATTTTAATGTTGCAATGTATTCTTCCACAAATCCAAATGGACATTATAAATGTTCTGTGCAAATTGATAACAAAAAAGAGTTTTTTTCAAATGATTTTTCTTCAAATACAAGTAGAACCTCAAACAACTTCAAAATAATGTTACCATCAATTTATATTTTAATATTTTGTTTAATTTTAAATTTTATTTAAAAATTGTTTTTATTAAAAACATATGCTAGCAAAGTATGCCACAAAAATTATTTTTAAAATGTAATAAGCTTTTTGAGAGTTTTCAAAATGCGTTTTATAAGTTGGGGACAATTGAATATTGAGCCTGCTGTGGCTAACTGTATCACCGAGGGAGGGTGCCACCGACGGAACGTGGCAGACAGCTGCAGTGAGGGAAAACTGTCTGCTTTTCTGCTGCCCTCATACAGCAAAAGCGAGTAAAGTTTTTAGCACTGCTAGTGCAAAAACAGCCAGACTGAAGCCGGTTTTACACTATTGCGGCTGATTCGCATTGGCCAAAAACTTGTGAATTCTCCACAATGGGCACCAACTGGAGACACCAAGATCTTCATTTTCAAAGAGTGCGTTCGAATAAAGGGAGAAACATCATTTTTTAGGGAAGAAGGATATGAAAAAGCACTTTTGTGTGTGAAGTAGCAGTGCACAGCCCAAAGCGGCGAGGTCTGACGACACTTGGGCACTGTGAACGTCCACCGACTCGGGTCTCGCGAGCGGAGCGAGCGGGGCCCGAGCGTTCACAGTGCCCAACTGTCGTCAGGGTGAGCCACTGGCCAAACTTTTAAGAAATGTCAGCGGTGCACGGTTAAGTGTGGCGTGAGCGAAACGAGCGCAACTGAGCCCTTGTAGTTTGCTAAACTAATTTTACTTTTAGGTAAGTATTATCAAATAGTTAGATAAGTGTTTGCAAACAACAAAAATAATATTAAAATTGCAAACTGACAAAACAATTGCATATGTTAATACGATTGCAATGAACAATAAAAATGATTTCTGTCATTAAAGTTGCAAAAATTTGGTTTAGTTGCAAAAATATCTGAGCAACACTTTCCTGAAACTATAAACTTATTTGTTTAAAACAGCAATAAACTAAAATGCAAGTATAAAACTCAAAAAAAATTTTTGTTGAACATGAAGTTTACAGTGAGCTAATTTTTAGTTATAACATTTAAAATACAAGTTTGAACTTGTTCACAATGAAGTTTATCTATATATTTTTGTTTGCATTAATTTTTTGTAAACTCAGTTTAGGTGAACTAACAGCTGAGTTTGTAGTAACTCCAGAAGATTTTTCTTTAGGTTCGCAGTTCACAGCTAAATGCAAAGTGAGCGGTTTTGATTCAAGCAAATATTTTTCCTACTCAGCTGTTTTTTATCTCAACCCATCTGACAGCCGAATTCTGAGAAAAAATCCTCGAATTGATTTTGACTTAGCAAAATGGACAGTTATGAAATCAAGTATATTTTTCTCAATTTAGTTTTAATTTTTAATTAAATATTTTTGTTTTTGCAGTGGATCCAAAGTTTGAAAAAACTTCTTCTGTTCCTGAACTTCTTGACCTTACAATTCTTGATGTTGGTCAAACTGCCAATCCGCCTGAATTCAGTGTTAAAATGACTCCAGCTAGCGATCGCTCTAGGGGAAAATATTATTGCAAATTGATTTTGAAAGAAACTAGTGCTTCAGAATCTATTGAGTCACTTCCATCTAATGTCTGGGACACATCTTCTAGTTTTGCAATTTACCCATCTTTTATATTTATGTCAATACTTTTTTGCGTTGCTTTAAAATTTGCTTTATAAGTTTAATTGTGATTATTACAATTGTGCTAAACACCAACAAAAACTCAATAAAATTTTTTTACATTTATTAAAATACACAACAAATACAGTGTTTAATTCTAGTTAAAACACTTTAAATCTATTTTTAAAAAATTTTTTTAATTTGTTTTGTAAATTAAAAAATTGTTTAACGATTTAAAAAAACATTTTTATTAAGTAAAAACCTGAAATTTTGCATTGTAACACAAAACGAGTATGTTTAACACAAAATGAAAATATATTATTATATAAAAAACTTGAATTTTTTGTGTCATTAATAATCATATTTTAAATATTAATTAAAAAATGCTTTAAACACTTACCATTTAAAAATATCTTTTTAATGATTCATCTTTCTGCCTTGTTCCTGTTATAAAAATTCCTAAATGTACCGCCATTTTTGTTTTAAACAAACAAATAAAACATAATTTTCGTTCACCTAAGTAACCTTTGTAAAACATTTTTTTGCAAACATGATGTTATAAACTTTGCAATAGGAACAAAACCTGTAACATTTTTACAATAAAAACTTAAAAAAAAATTAAATTTTTGCATTTAACGTTTTGACACAATTTTACAAATTTTAAATTTCAATCATGATGTTGAAATATTATTTTGTGTTTGTTTTTTTGTTTGGTTTTGTTTTTTCTCAAAGGCCAACAGCAAAATTTGCGGTTTATCCTGAAAAGTTTGCACTCGAACAGCAATTTACAGCAAAATGCAGTGTTGGAGATTTTGTAGCAACAGACTATGCAAAATATTCAACTATTTTTTCAATTAAACCTGTTGAAACAAATATTAAAATTGAAATGGATTTGGCAAAATGGACAATCACTAAAGGAGGTATTTATACATTTAAAATTACACAAGTTATTTTACATAATTTTATTATTTTAGTTCCAACTCCAAAGTTTGAAGTTTTTTCTGTCATAGATACCCTCGGTTTAAAAATTCCCACGACTGGGCAAACTTCAACTTTGCCTACTTTTGAAGTCAAAATGACTGCACAAAACAATCGTTCAAGAGGAATGTACTACTGTAAAATTCAACTTTGGAAAATTGCAACCGATAGTTTACCAACAGTTGAATCCGAGCCATCAAACTATTGGAACACTGAACCGTCAAATCCTGAACCACGATTAGGATTTTTTAGCTCTTGGGGTTTTATTGCAGGCATCAGCATATTTGGTGTGATACTTGTTGCATTAGTTATTTTTGGAATACTTAAGTGGGCAGGATTTTTTGGCAAAAAACATGATATTACTAGAGAAATGTTCCGTGAAAGAGATTTTGACTAGCTTTGCAACAAATTTTTATTGTTATAATTTTTAAATAAGTAATTAAATATTTTTGTTATAAAATTTTGTCTAACTTTTTTAGTTTA